ACAAAGATCACTGCCACCTCACCAACGACCGTCGTATCTTGAAGAAGGACATTGAGGACCTGATCGAGAGAGGATATTTGAAGAAGCTTGTCTCACAAAGAGACCAAAGAGAAGCTCCCCCAGCCAAGGCAGATAGGAGATCCTACCCACGGTCGTCTCGTCTTTGACTGCGCTAGGATCATTGTCCCCCGGAGCCTAGCCATAAGGGGGTCATCAACATGATCAGCTTTTAATAATTCTATACAAAAATTTCATTCATTATAATTGAAATACTTTTTGAAATTGACTCTTGTTTCGCACTCTCTTAGTGCTAAATCTATGCAAGAATTCTAAGCCCTTGGTGCCTTCTCATGGAAAACCTAAGGCACACTTGTCATATGGTCGGCTCCTGCATTTATAACTCAACCCCTAGAAGGGCAAAAAGACCTAGGCATCCTCATTAAGACCTAGGAACCCAACCTCCGTGTTGTCATTCTACCAAAAGACCTTGGAACTCTCATTAGATCCAAGGCACGTACGCTAAGACCTTAGTGTCATCACAAGTAAACCTAAGGCATGGAGCTTAACCATTCGGTCGCCTTCGACAAAAAGACCTAGGTGTCCTTATTAAGACCTAGCCACTAAACCTCTAGGTTATCATTTGCTGAAAAGACCTAGGCATCCTCAATAAGACCTAGGCACCCAACCTATGGGTTATCATTTGTCGAAAAGATCTAGGCATCCTTATTAAGACCTAGGCACCTAAGCTTCACCATTCGGTCACCTTCGACAAAAATACCTAGGCATCCTCATTAAGACTTAGGCACCCAACCTTCGGGTTGTCATTTTCCAAAAAGACCAAGGCATCCTCAATATGACCTAGGCACCCAACCTCCGGGTGGTCATTTGTCAAAAAGACCTAGGCGTCCTCATTAAGACCTAGGCATCCAACCTCCAGGTTATTATTTACCGAAAAGACCTAGGCGTCCTTATTAAGACTTAGGCACCTAACCTCTGGGTTGTCATTTACTAAAAAGACCTAGGCGTCCTCATTAAGACCTAAGCACCTAACATTCGGATTGTCATTTTGCCAAAAAGACCTAGGCGTTCTCATTAAGTCTTAGGCATTTCAACTTGCCAGTCTTCTTTGACAAAAAGACCCGGACATCTCGCTAACAGAAGGCGTAAAATGAGCCAGTTGCCCTGACCCCTCAACACTCGGGTAATTACAACAATCATCACTTGTTCTCTCAATTAGAACAAAGCTACAAGCAAATGAAGAAAAAAATAAGGAACAAATAAAGGCAAGTTCTAGAGTAAGAGCAAAGTTCAAATCTTTATTCTAATAATCAAACAAACTTTATTATATTATCCATGTCGATATTTACAAAAAGATGATATTTACATTAAGAAAATAAAAAGATACAAGCCCTCAGATCTCTCGGCTAGATCCGAGAGTAGGGCTTGTAGGCCAAGGCCAGATCCGAGAGCGGGGTGAGAGGCAGGAGGGAGCAGTGAAGCCAAGGCAAGTCATCGACCACCTTTTCCCTATACTACTTCGAGTCCAAGCGAGTGAGTCGATCCTCTAGGTCCTTGATGGCCGTGACAGACATCTGGTGGGATGAGCACTCCACATTAAGGTCTCACTTCAGATGCTCAACTGAGAGATGACTCGATCGAGCATCCTCCTAAACCCTCACCTTGAGGCACCTCTCATACTCGACTTCCCCCTCTAGAGAAGTTAGGTAGCCACCCCACTCGGAGTTTCCTTGCTGGAGGTTGCCAACCTACTCCTTCAGCCGGGCTACCTCACCTTGGAGCTTCTTAATGGAAGCCGCCTGCTTGGCGGGCATGAGATCTAAACCCCCTAAGGAGCTTTTCTTTCATGTTCAGCTCCCGGTACCAGCTGGCCTCATTGCTGTTCAGCTCAGCCTCTAAGTGTTAGCCTTGTCAGGTCTCATGGTTATGAGCCTACTCCCTAATCTTATTTTGATGATTATAAACAATTCCTAATATTATGCGTCGAGTGCTTGCATTTGTTTTGTTAGGCAATCTACACAAATATCAAAGTTGGAGGTTGGATGGAATTGCGCCATAATGATCATATCAAATGAAGGTTGGCGAAAATAGTGGTATGAAGCCATTTGTAATTCAAGTCATATACAAGATCAAGCTTCATCCATGTTACCAAGATTGAGCGTCATGAAGATCATTGCTTGGTATATTTAGTTTTTAGGAGTTTATACTTTGTGTGTTGATACTTCAAGCTTGTCAATATTTAGGTTTTGTTCTGAATATTCTCCTTGTGAGAGTTGCTCACTTTATATAGAAGCTGTCGAGCTAATTACAAGGCTGAAAATCAGCCATTACACAGGATTATGCAAGGTAAGAATAAACGCCTATCAATTCTATGCATATATACAATATACTCTTCTATATATAGTTAGACTAATAAAGGAAAGAATATATGCTGCCTTCAGCACATGTCCAGCTGTTAATTCTGCTAACATCCCCCCTCAAATTGATGCTGGGCGATCGAGAAGCATCAATTTGTCAATCAAGAACTGATGGCGAGGACGAGAGAGCTTGGTGAAGACATCAGCGGTTTGGTGTTCAGTGGAAATGTGTGGAAGAATAAATTCTTGGTGAGCAAAGGCTTCTCGAATGGAATGACAATCCACTTCAATATGTTTGGTGCGCTCATGAAAAACAGAATTTGCAGTAATCTGAATAGCACTAGTATTATCAGCATGAAGAGGAGTAGGAGTAAGCTGTGGAACACTAAGTTCGCCTAACAACCCCCGAAGCCATACAATTTCAGAACAGGCAGACGACATAGCCCGATATTCAGACTCGGTGGATGACTTCGAGACACGATCCTGCTTCTTACTCTTCCAAAAAATAAGTGCATCGCCAAGAAACATACACCAACCCGTAACAGAACGACGAGTATCCGCACAACCAGCCCAGTCGGCATCACTAAAACCCTTCAACTGTAAAGAATTCCCTGAGGGAAAAAACAAGCCGCGACCAGATGTCCCTTTTAGATATCGAAGAAGACGACGGACAGCGGCCAAATGTGTCTGGCATGGAGCCTGCATAAACTAACTGACCTGTTGAACAGCAAATGAGATATCAGGTCGAGTAATGGTCAAATAATTCAAACTGCCCACCAGCTGCCGATACATTGAAGGATCATATAAGGGATCACCATCCGCCTGTCGCAGCTTCAAATTGACCTCCATAGGTGTAAGAACCGAATTTCCGTCTTGAAGACCTGCTAAAGAAAGAAGTTCTTGGGTGTACTTATGCTGATGTAAGAGCATGCCATTCGGACAATGGTGAACCTCAAGTCCTAGAAAATACTGCAATGGACCAAGATCTTTCATATGAAACGAAGATTTGAGGCGTTGTTGGAGTTGCTCAATTAACTGGAGATCAGATCCAGTAATCACAATATCATCGACATACACAAGAAGTATGACGATCCCAATGGTAGTCTTGCGAAAGAAGAGAGAGGAGTCATACTGACTCTGAGTAAAAGTGAAATCCAGTAGAGTAGTACGAAACTTCTCAAACCATGCCCGCGGTGCCTGCTTCAAACCATACAAAGACCGCTTTAAGCGACAAACCTCAACAGAAGAGGAAGGAAACAAGCCAGGAGGAGGAGACATAAATATTTCTTCCTTCAAATCACCATGTAGAAACGCATTCTTCACATCCATCTGACGAAGCGTCCATCCTTTCGAAACAGCAATGGCCATAATAGTGCGAACGGTAGTCATTTTGGCCACAGGAGCGAATGTTTCCTCATAATCAAGCCCATACTCCTGTCGATTCCCGAGTGCCACCAGACGAGCTTTATGTCTTTCGATAGAGCCATCAGCACGTAGTTTGATGGTGTAGACCCATTTGCACCCAATAAGCTTAACTCCAGCAGGACAAGAAACAATGTCCCAAGTGTGATTGTCCTGAAGAGCCTGAATTTCGTCCTTCATAGCTTGGCGCCAACACTCTTGAGTAGAAGCCTGAGAATAAGACGGAAAGAAATATTGATTTTCAAAAAAAATCACATGGTGAGAAATACGAAGCTTGTTAGCTTCCGCATCATAACACACAAATCCTTTGTAAGAGTTACTATAGCCAAGAAAAGCACACTGAACAGATTGGGCAGCAAGCTTGTGACGTTCAATGGGAGGTAAGTGAACAAAACAAACACAACCAAAAACATGCAAAGAATTGTAATCAGGAGGAACCCCAAACAAACGAGAATATGGAGAATCAAGATGCAAGGTAGGAGAAGGCGGACGATTAATCAAATATACGACTGTAGATAATGCTTCTACCCAAAATCTAGGAGGGACAGAAGATTCAAGCATCAATGTACAAACAACATCTAAAAGATGTCTATTCTTACGCTCGGCGACGCCATTTTGTTGAGGTGTGTAAGGACATGAACGCTGAGAAAGAATACCCTTCTGTTGGAGAAAAGATTGAAAAGCATGAGACATGTATTCTCCCCCAGAATCTGAGCGGAAGATCTTAATATGGGTAGAAAATTGAGTTTCCACATAGGCAACAAAAGTTTTGAAGGTTGAAAACACATCAGCTTTAGAACGAAGAAAATAGACCCACGTGAAACGACTGTAATCATCAATAAATATCACAAAATATATGTATTGAGCATGAGAAAGAATAGGACTCATACCCCAAACATCAGAATGAATAATTTCAAAACATGTAGAAGCACGACTACCCTGCAAAGGAAAAGGTAAAGATTTTCTTTTTCCTAGTTTACAAGGAGCACAATCAAAAAACAAGGAAGAAAACTCATTTGTATTATTCAAAGAACCATGTTTCATAAGATGTGTCAAAATTGCAGAATTTGGATGACCCAATTTCTTATGCCAAACATGGCTATTATTATTAGCAATAGCAGAACAACCAACAGAAATTGAACGAGGAATGGAAAATGACTGAAGAGGAAAAAGACGTCCCACTTTAGGCCCCTTCGCTATCTCCTATCCCGACGCTTGATCCTGCACACGACAACCAAAACGATCAAAATGAATAGAACACTTATCTTCTACTAATTGTCCCACAGAAATGAGATTGGCAGATAAATCAGGAGACACGAAAACATTAGTAAAGGAAGACCCCAGATTTCCAACTGCAGTAATGGGAAGAGTACTGCCATCTGCAATCTGAATATGCTGCTGACCATCATACTTACGAACATCTTGTAAAGTTGCTGAACTGCCAGTCATGTGATTGGAAGCCGCAGAGTCAATTAACCAAGGAGAAGTAAGGAGCTGTGTCTTACCTTGGAGACCAATAGCAGAAAGAGCAGAAATAATCATCTGTTGAACTTGCTCGGAAGTAATGTTGGAAGAGGAACTCGGAACAGCGGACGAAGTGGAAGATATAGGCACAAAAGCGGACTGAACAGCAGTATGAAAAGCAGGAGCTGATTGATTCTGAGGACGTACACGACAATCCTTAAGAATATGACCCTCCTTCTTGCAATAATTGCAGAATTTCTTGCTGCAATATTTGGCAATGTGCCCAATTTCCTTGCAACTATAACATTGTGGTGGAGATCTGGATCGTCCTCTGCTTTGAGCAGCGTATGCCATATTAACCATCTCAGAACCACCAGTGTCTTGATCAAGGCCATGCTGTGAGGCCAGACGCTGTTCTTCACGCAAAAGTTCACCCAAGCAAACCTCCAAAGAGGGGATAGGTGTGCGATTGATTAACCCAGCTCGTGCACTTTCAAACTCAGGTCTGAGCTTCATCAAGAATTGATCCCGCTGGCTCTCAGAGTGAACCGCTTGTAGTGCTGCCAAAGCTTCTTTGGGAACCTGAGAATGCACCAACCCAGAATAATCACTCCATAAATTAATAAAACTGGAATAAAATTGCTCAATAGAGAGGTTCCCCTGGCGATAGTTTCCAATGTCTAACTCCAATTGAAACTTTCGGGCAGAATTATCTTGATAATAAATTTGCCGAAGGTAATCCCACATCGCCTTAACAGTAGTGAATCCACGAAGATTGTTGACCATATGAGGTTCAACAGAGCTAAGTAGCCAGGAAGCAACTCTGGCATCCTTGCTTTCCCATGAACTAAGTTCTTTGGGATCAGTGGAAGCCTTAGAAGACCCATCCAAATGACCCCATAACTCCTTCCCTTTCACAAACATCCTAAACTGAAATTCCCAACTGCTGTAGTTCTTGCCATTAAAACGAACAATAGAATTTTCTCTAGACATAATAGAATTTTCTCCAGACATAATTAGACCGGAATTAAATCGCTCAAAAAAAAAATATGCCGATAGTCACACACCCAAACCAGAATTGCGACAAAAATATAATCAGAAAGTATAAACCTGATTCACCAAAAATGCTCCTCCAGAATCGAAAAGAAAACAACCAAGAATTCAGACAACCTGAGAGAAAACCACGAAAATAATTTGTGGCTCTGATACCATGTCAATATTTAGGTTTTGTTCTGAATATTCTCCTTGTGAGAGTTGCTCACTTTATATAGAAGCTGTCGAGCTAATTACAAGGCTGAAAATCAGCCATTACACAGGATTATGCAAGGTAAGAATAAACGCCTATCAATTCTATGCATATATACAATATACTCTTCTATATATAGCTAGACTAATAAAGGAAAGAATATATGCTGCCTTCAGCACATGTCCAGCTGTTAATTCTGCTAACAAAGCTCAATCATATACACACATACACATTTTTGGTTTTCAAGTTTATATAAATATGAAATAAATATATTTGTTTATATACTTACATATTTCATATTTATTGTTTTGTTTTTGGTCTAGCTATACAAATATGAAACAACAGATATATTCATATACATACTCATATGTTTCATATTTATCATTTTGTTTTTTTGTAAAAATGCATATATTATGCAAAACGTCATTTTTGAGAAAATATTGTGTTTGTGGATTATAGACTTGGTAATATTAGTTTGTACCTTTTTCTATGTCTATAAAACTATACAAAAGTTTTCAAACTTTGGTTTAAGTCAAAATGCCAAAATCATGTGTTGTTGAGTTTTCACGTTTTTGGACTATTTTGTAAAATAAAAAGTTTTCACAATTGGGAGATGAAATTTGAAAATTTCTTTTTGTAACATGTTCATTTTTATGTTTATAATCATTTTCCAAAGTTTTATATTTTTTAGAATTTATTTACTATTTTTTGTTAGACCCTAGAGGGGGGGGTGATTAGGGTCTTATGCTAATCTAATCCGATTTAAATGCCTTAACTACAAATGTGATAGGGCAAAATGATCAATAAGCAATACACAATGACGATGTAAGATATGAACATGAAAACAAGTGCGCCAATGCAATCACAAACAAAGGATATGTTTACGAGGTTCGGTCCCCACGACCTACGTCCCCGCTCCTCACCTCGAGGAGATCTCCACTATCACAACCGGGTTTTCTACGTTCACCCGAACAACGTTTACACCTCACAATACAATCACTATGTAATCACACCTCACACACTAAGTGTTGGTCCTAGCCCGTGTCCTCCTCCTCAAGTGCTCGGTTACAACCTCTCCCTAGGCACGTCAACCGACGCCACTCCTCTTGGATTCGACCCCGTCTCTCACCACACACTTCTCTCGGTGTACAAGTGTATTACAAGTGAATCCTCACAATTAAGCACAATATAAATCAATTTGATTGTTCTCTAAACAAGGTGAGAACTCAATTAAGCTCACTCTCAATGTCACAAACCCACAACCCTAAATTATACTATGAATGTAAATACAATAAGCTCAATAGGTTGTGTGTGATCAAAGAGATAAAACAATATAAACTCAATATAGAAATCTAGCTTATGGAAATTAAGATCAAAACAATAAATAGCTAGAATTGAGTTTAAGGAAAACTTCTCTATAGATCAAGAGTGAGAGAGAGATGAGTTGAATGCCCAAACACCAAAGGATGATCTCCTCAAGCTCTTGTAGAATTGAATCACAAAACCGAAACACTCAAATGCTTAAAAGCTTCTTAAACTTAAACAAACACTAAACAAGTTTAAACCCTTGTTAAAACTTTTTAAACCATTCTCCTGACTTATTGAAAAGATATCAACAAAGGGGTATTTATACCCTCTAAAGATCTCAGCAAAAAATCCCAAGTCAAAAGACCAAAAAACCATCTTCAACGGCTCTAAAAAGAGCCGTTGGGACTCCAGCGGTCGACCGATGAAAATCGCGGTCGACCGGAAACAAGGTCAGAGTCGAAGGAGACGTCCAGAGAGTCTTCGGTCGACCGGGTGGAAATTTCGGTCGACCGATGGTGAATTTCGGTCGACCGGCGGAAATTTCGGTCGACCGACGATACTGAAGCAGGTATATCCGATTTTATAAAATCGGTTACAAATAGTAAAACAGCTCCAAAAATTATGAAATTTTAAGGAAAGGTTCTAGACATGTATAGAAACCTATTAAAGAAAGAATTTATGAAAAATAATTTTCCAGCTGAGAGAAATAAATGTTTTAACACAGAAATACAGTTTCTGAAAATCTGCTGTGATACACGATTTTGTAAAATCAATTAGGCACAGTAAATCAACTCCAAAAATAGTAAAATATTGTGGGAAGTTTCTAAATATGTAGATAAACATGTCAGAGAAAGAATTTTTCAAATATCACTTCTCATTTGTGAAAACTCATCAGTTTTGTAAAACATGCACGAACATGTGCACGAACGAAAACGTGAATTTGTAAATTCCTTTAAACATAACAAATCAATTCCAAACTTGATGAAACTTTGAGAAATGTTTGCAAATGATATTTTGAACATGTTACAAAAAAAATTTCCAATTTGCATTTCTCAATTGTGAAATCTCATTATTTTGCAAAAGTATTCAAAACATGAAAAACCCAAAACCATGCATGTATATATATAACTATATATATACATAGAAACCAAATACGTGTGTGTATATGATATTAAGCTTAAGGTACTTAACACACATAATATAAAACCTAGACTAGATTACCCAAGCCGATCTTGATATTCAATAAGCTTGACTTGGTACACTTTGCGGATGAAGCTTGAACTTGATCTTAAACTTGAATTGTATGTTGCTTCACTCCACAATTCCGCCAACCTCCATTTGATATCGTCGTTATGGCGCACGACATTCCGCCGACCTTCCATTTGATATCGTCGTTATGGCGCAATCCATCCATCCTCCAACTACGTTGTTTGTCTACAATACATAGGAATGCACAAACACTAGACAAACAACATTAGTAGTAAATTGTTTGTAAATCATCATCAAAACAAGAAGGCCAACATTTTTAAGGCACTTCAAAAATCAAATTTTATACATGAATAATGCATGTTCATGTTTATATGTTGACTTATGTACTGTAGTAAGTGGACTTATGAACTATTCTAGAAATTTTAAATTTTATCTGCTAAATTGACTTAAAATTATAGCAAGTCGACTTATAAGTCGACTTATGAATTGTTTTCATGTTTGTTGTTTTTATCTGCTAAATCGACTTACAACTGAAACAAGTCGACTCATAAGACATAAGTCAACTTATAAGTCGACTTATGAACTAGTCGTTGCACAGTAATTCCTAGTTTCTAGATTTTGTTTATTTTAATGTTTTAGGGATTTTTTGGTGTTTTCTTGGGCTGGGTTCTTCCTCCCTATATATACCCCTTTATCATAAATATTTCCTTTCACTAAGAGAGTTTTAAAAACAAGTTTAAGGGTGTTTAAAAGTTTGTTTAATTTTTTGTTTCAAGTGTGTTTTGTGTGAAGTTGTTTTCACAAGTGGAGGAGATCATCTCTTTGCTATTTGGGCTTCAACTTCATCTCTCTCTCCCTTGATTTCTAAAGAAGATTTTCTAAACTCAATTCTAGCTTTACATTTATATATTTGTTTAATTATCTTTATATTAAGCTAGATTTTATAATTGAGTTTAGTTTTGATTATTTTTTATTATTTACACACACAACCATTGAGCTTTAGTATTATCACATATTGTATACATTTGGGTTGTGGGATTGTAACTTTGAGAGTGAGCTTTATTGATTTATTATTCTTGTTTAGAGAACAAACTATTTGTAATTGAGCTTTATTTGTGAGATCACATTGTATTACACAAGTACACCAAAAGAAGTATAAGGTGAGAGATGTAGTAGGTTCAAAGAGGAGTGGGGTCGGTGGTAAAGCCTAGAGAGAGGTGATAATTCCAAACACTTGGGGAAGGTGACACGTGAGAGGCCAACACTTGAGGTGGTTTTTGTGTAGTTACAAGTGTAAGTTGTAAATGTTTGTCGGTGAGTGTAGAAAACCGATTGTGAGGTGTAAACGTTTTGGGTGAATGTTGAAAACCCAATGTGATAGTGGATTCTCCCCGAGAGTGGGTACAGAGATGTAGGTCGAAAGTATCGAACTCCGTGATCATATTGTGTGTTTGAGTTTTCCTTGGCATTACATTTTTGTGCTCATTGCTTATATCGTTTATTTCATTTTATATCGCCATTGTTAATATTTATTTCACCTTTGTTTTAATTCCTTATCCTTGCATACGTAAATTATATATCATACTTGCTAGGATATTTGTTACTAAGTATTTAATTGGTATTAAATCGAATTAGATTAGCATTAAACCTATTCACCCCTCACTCTAGGGTACTCTCACCAAGGCGATGATGCTCTTATCTGTTTTCTCCCTGGCTGACTTCTCCTTAGCCAGGTCCGCCTGCAGCTCAGGCGGGGAGTTATACATGTGGGAGAGCCAGTTAAACTGCTCCGCCTCCCCCCAAACCAAGTAGGCCTAAGGGCCAGGTGTAAACCGATGCTTGGCATCTCCCCCAAGAACCCCTCGTCCTTTAGGAGAAGGAACAGTTGGACAGCTCGGACTGGGGTAGTTGATGACCCTAAGATCGAGCTCTCTCTATCGGGAGGTACCTCCGCGATGAACTTGTCACCCTCTGGTAATTCCCTCTGGGGTGAACAAGGGCACAACGGCACTCCAATCAACATGCCCTTCACCTTCTCCTAGAATTGAGGATTAAGTTCTGAAACCTAATGGCAGAAAGGTAAGAAGTTGTCTATTGCTCCTCGCTAGCCTCACCCACCAAAGATTCTAGCAGGGGTGTTTCTTGCTCTCCAGCACCCTCGGAAGTCCCTTTCTGTCTGGCCTACGGGATGGTTCGGGCACAGGGCTCAGGTTGGCTGCCTCCTTAGCAGGAGCCCTAACTTCAGCAGTCG